AGCATGAAACGTAAATAAGAGCTCACGTGACGTGACGTCACCAAGCATTGTGTTGTCAAATCAGGTATATATACCTGATTTAAAAGAAAATAAACCCATTTTTCATTTTTCGAAACCACCATACCCATTTTCTCTCTCTACCGTCTCTTTCTCTCTCTAGTTCATCTGAAACCTCCACAAACATTCTGAGAAAGCTTAGAGATAAAAAATTTCATGCGTAATCATGGATATTAGAAAAGAAATTGCTGGTGCTACCATAGATTCTGGAAATCAGCGTAAAAAAATAAGGTTATTTTCAATTTTTCGCTAATTTGAGCAACGAATGTCCCTCTAAACTTGTAAATATGTTCAATCAGTATTTAGATTTTGTTTATTTACAATTATCTCTCTCTAGCCTTCAATTTCAGTATTATAATTACATTTTTGGTTGTTTATTTTGATTTTTTGTTCATTTTGAATTTTGTATAATTTTGGTTGATTTATTTGGATTTTTGTACATTTTGTCTAGGGGAGCAAGAATTACATCATCAATGCCGGAATTAAGAAACAACAACTACGAGAGTTTAGCACCGTAAGCTAACTAGCCTGATTTTCTAGTTGATTCAAAGAATAAAAACCTAACTTTTTTTTTTTTTTTGAATTTTTCAGAATGAGAAAAGCTAATTCAGAGCAGGATATTGAAAACAAAGATTCGTAAGTGCAATTTTAATTTTTTGTTGATTATGGAGTTTAATATTAGTAGTTATAGTGTTATTGACTAAATTTTCATTTTGTAAAAATTTAATGTTCATTTTGTGAAAACGAACAGAGAGATGATGAAGATGTTCCAATTGCCATCAAATTGGCAAGAAAAAAAAAACAAAAAACAAGCGCAAAAATCCTACTCTTATAATAGATCCAACACTTTTAAATGATATCAAAAGATCAGCTAAGTAAGACATAGTTTGCTCAATTTTATTTATAATGATGTTCAATATCATGATCATTTGTTCATTTTAATTTCATAGTTTGGAACGCATAATTACTCTCAATTTATCTTAGTATTAAAAATGTTCATTGTAATATTAGAAAATGTTCGTTTTAGTATTAGAAAATGTTCGTTTTAAGATGATGAAATGTTCATTTTAAGATGATAAAATGTTCAATGCTGAATTTAGTCATTTGTCAAAAATTTAATAGAGGGTGATGCTGAATTTACTTCTTTGTTCATTTTAATAGTTGAGGATGTTCATTTTGTTTGAAAGCATGCCCATTTACTGTTTAAAGGCATCACAATTATAAAAATGTTCAAAATTTGAAGAGTGAATGTTCATTACTGATAGTTAACTAAAGACTAGGGGGGATCATTTATTCATTTTCATAGTTGAGGATGTTTATTATTTTGTAAAAGCGTTTATCAAAACCAGAGGGGTTAAATACAAGAGACAATAATCAATTGAAGATCAAAATCAAATTTAAGAAAGCAAAATCAGAAAATGTTTTTGAGAAATTGTTTATTTGTACCTTATTATTCATATGGAAACGTATACAACTAACCCTAAGAAAAAATGGATTTGTGACTTGAAAAATGATGTAAGTGCTCTTTATGTTCATTTCTTTTAACCCAAGTGTTCATCTTTTCAAATCAAATGTTCATTTCTATAAATATGATCCTATTTTTAAATTATTGTGTTAAATGTTTTGCTTATGTGTATTTTTTCAGCTAGGTTGATCAATTGAGGAAGTTATGGGTCGTATATTGTGCACAACTGATGCTTTTTGAGGGAAACAAGTACCACCAAATGAACAAAATGGCAGCAAAAAGAAGACAGAGAGAAAGTGATTAACTTCAATGTTCAAATGCAAAACAATATATGTCTTTATGTAATATACAATATGATATTTCTTCAAAAGAGTATTTCAAATTATATTGAATGATGAATGTATATAAACATATGTTCTGATATTTGATAATACATTTGTAAATCAGAATAAAATTATATTGAATGATGAATGTATATAAACATATGTAATATTCATTTTCTTTTTATAAAATTTTCAATAGAATGTTTTGATATAAATTATAAATTTTTAATTAAAAAGTTGATTTTTAAAATGACAACTCATGTAAATCAGAAAAGTTCATTCATTTATGTAGAATCTTAAAAAAAATTAATGATAACATTATCAAATAATATCAAAAAATCACATAATATCGATTATCAATAACATTGTTCATAACATCAACATAGAATGTTCATTCATTTATAATAAAATCAAATATGTTCTTTACAAGTAAAATTGTATGCTTCAATGTATAGTATAGTATGATTCAATGTATAGATCTTGATGAATCTTGTATAGTATGCTTCAATGTTTGACAAAAATCCCTATAAAAAGAAAATGTTCAATAAGAAATAAAAATAAAAAAAGAACAATGATAGCAAAATTATATACTTACTAAACTATGTTATTCATTGATCAACCATTGAAAGAATTTCGTTGAAATAAACATCTCTAACACCTCCAGCTTTAAAATGCTTCAAACAAATAAAATGTATGTCAAAGTATATAAATAATATACATGTGCATAACTAAAAACAATAATGTTCAAATATATTCACCTTACTATTCTTATCATGAGATGGATCTTTTGACTGAGTAGGAATTGCATCACCAACCTTATAAATTATTAAATAACAATGGTCGAATAATGAAATGTTCAAAGTAGAAGGATGAAATGTTCATAATGAAAACAATAATGTTCAACTATATTTACCTTACCATTCTTATCATGAGATGGATCTTTTGACTAAGTAGGAATTGCATCACCAACCTTATAAAAAAAAATTAAATGTTAATAGTCGAAAAATGAAATGTTCATAATAGAAAGATGAAATTATCATAATGTAAAAATGAAAATTTCATATTTACCTTATCCTTTTGAATTTTGTTAGCTTCAATTGACTGAGTAGTATCCTTGTTTAAAACAACCAATCCTGATCCTTCAATGCTAGAATTTGAATAAATCAAATGAGCACCATTATAATAAACTCTAGTAAAATCCAAAAAAAATTGTTCAATGATAATAACAAATCATAAACTAATTGTTCATACAGAATAAGACATTGTTCAAATTTAGAAACATATATGTTCATTAATACCTCAGCAGATGTTTGAACATTAAACCTAAACATACACCATCCTTCCCAATAGAAAACTGAACAAATGTTGTACAACCTGTACGATCCACCAATTTTTCATACTTTCTGGTGTTCCGTTTCTTATTGTCTTTAAACCCTTCATTTGAACAATAACTTTCTCATAGTCCATTCCCCCAGTGCGCCTACTACTTCTTGTCTTTGCCTTCCTAAAACAAAATTCTTTTTAAAAAGCATACTCATAAATCGTAAGCCTCTGCATCACCCTTAACAGTCTTCAACATTAATTCAGATTTGTCTGCCTCATGAACTATTACTGGATCTTTATTCACTGAAAATAGTAAATGTACATAATGTAGTCATATAATGTTCATTTTAGAATCAGGTCATACTGTATCTGATAAAAAATGTTCATATCAAAATAATAAAATGTTCATTTATATTCGAAAAACATGAAAATGACCAAAAAAAAAGTGATTAATTCATTATTGAAATATTGTTTATAATCAACATAATAAATGTTCAATTTAAAACACTATAATATTATTATAAAACAAACATCGTATAACATGTACAATCACTGAAAATAGTATAACATGTACAAACACTATATATTGATTTTGTTCAATCAAAACCAAAAACACATATATAAAATAAAAAGTATAAATTCAAAGCTTAAATTATTCAATCAAAAGAAATCAAACATTAAGCAATTATTAATTACGGAGTATATGAAATAATCAATTAGCAAAATAAACTCCATTGAATAAAAAAAGCACAAAATTATTCAATAAAGAATAAACTCCATTGAATCAAAAATGCACTAAATTACTCTATCAAAGTAATAAATAAACTTACATTCATCCAATAATGAAGGAAGAATCCCACATGAACAATTCGTAGCAAGTTCCATTGTTATTTACAGACAAAAGAATCGAAAATCTTGAATACCTTGAATGTGTAGAGCAATTCAACACCAGAATTAAAAAAAAAAATATCAAAGATGAACAATGAGAAAGAAAATATTGTAAAATCGAGAAGAGAAAGAAAGTTTGAATTAAATGGAAACAAAATCTTATATACTCAACAAAGGAAAGAAATATGGCTCGAAAACAAAATTGGAGATGTGAGCCAGAAAAAAAATGATGTTGTTTAGAGGAAGGAAAAGAAAATATGGCTGAGCTCAGCTCCCTACCACAAAACGCTGTCGTTTTGGAGGGGGTGCAGCAAATGGTAGCTGGTCTCGATACCGGGTAAAAATTTGCGCAAGTATTATACTACTTCCGTTAATTGTTTTGTGCAACAAAACTAGAGTTCACGGTTGTCAATGCAAAAGATAAGGGGCAAAGTTTAGAGAGAGTATTAGAAAGTAATTAAAGTAATGAAGGAGAGAGAAAGTAGGACCCCCCACTCCTTTTACATGGTGGGAAGTCAGTAAAAAAGGAGGGAGGTGTTTTCCCTTTAAAATTTTCACCAAAAAATTGAAAACATTTGAAAAACCAAATTTTTGAATTTTCAGCCAACTTGACTCATGTTTTTCGTCTACTTTTAAGTGGAATCAACAGATGGAATTCATACAATGCAAGGCATATAAAACCAGCTTTCAACCAAGAGAGCATTTAATGTTTACAAAAACACAAGTTCTCCCAAAAAATGACATTGTTCAAGCACTTCCTAAACTGATTTCTTTACAAAAAATTCCCCTAGACTACAGTTAGTGTTGCACATCTTCAGTCTTGATCACCAATCTACCTCCATTGACTATGTATTCACAAAGGGCGCTAAGTCTCCCAAAAAAAATCAACAGCCAGCCCTTTTACATGTTCTGGAATCTGCACACACACAAAGAAAACAGGAAACATGGCAGAAATAGGTGAAGGGTTGTCTTTTGATGTTGATCAGCTTCTAACTGAAGAAGCACTGGCAGAGCTGTATTGTGATCAACATGAAGCAATGCAAGATGAAGATTTTGAGCAGGATGAATCAGAAAATGAGATGATGCAAGATGAACCAGAAGAAATAACCAATCAGCAGCAAGGCACACAAGCAGATGATGCAAACCAAGAGAGCCAACATGAAACAGACCATGGGACTCAAGGTGCCAGCAGAAAACAGCTGACTATGCAACAGAGAAGGCAGATTGTTGATGCAACGCTCCTTACAATGCAAGATGGTCAGTTACCCAAGGGTCACAGGAAACAGTTAAGCATCCAATTCAGAGTTCATAAGTCAACAATCACCAGAATCTTTATTGACATTAAAAAACAGATGCCACAAGGGAATATGATTGATGTCAGGACTAAGAAGTTTGGCAGAACTGGTCCAAAGCCAAGGGAATTTTCTGATGAATACCTACAATCAGTCCCTCTGTATCTTAGGCAGACAAAGAGAAGTTATGCAGCTGCCCTAAAGATTTCTCATGTCACTCTCCACCATTTGAAGAAAAAAGGGAGGCTGAGAACACACACAAGCAGTAACAAACCTGCCCTAACATCAGACCACAAGGTTGCTAGACTCAAATGGGTGATGTCACATATAAATCCAGTCACAGCAGATGGGGACCCCACTTTTGTTGACATGAACCATGTCATACACATAGATGAGAAATGGTTCTTTCTCAATCCTGACAAGAGAAGATTTTATCTCCTTCCAAGTGAGGAAGATCCATACATGGCACAACAGTAAAAAAGATTCAAGCTAAAGGCAAGGTTCATGGCCTTAATTGGGAAGTCATTGTATGACACAAATGGGGAACTACTCCATGATGGGAAGTATGGCATATTCCCATTCACAGAGAAAGAGTTAGCAAAGAAATCAAGCAAAAACAAAGCAGCAGGCACATTGGTAACCAAGGCACTCCAGAATGTGAACAGAGAGGTTATTTGGGAGATGTTGCTCACAAAGGTCATACCAGCAATTCAATCTAAATGGCCAGAAAGTCTCCCAAAAAATGTTATCATTCAATGGGACAATGCAAGGCCTCACCAAGTGCCTAAGGATGAAGAGTTTATTGCAAACAATAGCAAATGGGTTCAATATTCAACTTGTATTTCAACCAGCACAGTCACCTGATTTAAATGTGTTGGATTTAGGCTTATTTAGGTCAATTCAGTCTTTGCAATATCAATCTTTCCCTAAGAACCTAGATGAGCTTGTGGACAAAGTGATTGAGTCTTACAACACATTCAAGCCTCAAGTGAACAAGTACATTTGGGTGACTTTGCAAAAGTGTATGATCAAAATTCTCAAGGCACAGGGAGGGAACAAGTACAAAATACCACACATGAACAAAAAGAAGCTTGAAAATCTGGGCATTCTACCAGAACAAGTACAAGTGAGGAAGGAAGTTGTTGTGGAAGCTGTGGAGTACCTAAACACAATGTTTAGGCCAGCAAATCAAGGTAGTCAGGATGCGGCAGAGAATATGGAGGTAGATGCAGATTAGGGGACTCATCAAACCAACCCAAGGAGGATGAACAACATGGACTGCCACACATAACCACTTAGCTGTTTCTATTAGGTTTTGTTTTTTTTTTTTTAAATTATGTTCATGAATAAGTGGTTAGGTGTATTTTGTTGATTATGATGATGCAACCATGTAAGGCACTCACATGTAACTTCTTTTGTACCCAAATTCAAATATGGAATGAAAATGAAAATGACTTTTGATGTGTGGCCAATCTATCCATCTGAATAGGTTATCACATTGTTGAATACAACACTTGATACCAAAGTTACCTCAACAACAATCTCAAACAAGAAATTGTTGGAGCAAAACTCTAGTGTCAAGTGGAATTCAATGGAGTCCCTTCATCATTTGGATGAAGACAAAAAAGCACTCAAGTGTTATCAAAACACATATGGGGGACTCACAACTTGAGTGTATCCAGACAAAACCAATTGGGACTCCTCATTTTAAGGGATTTGTTAAACGTCGCCCGCAAATCTCCACATAAAGCCCACAAATATTTTTACTTTGACTCTTTTGCCCTTTTTCTAATTTTTACCGAAACCGTAATTCACTCTCACGAAGAATGTGGAGCTGGAGTGGATCGCCGAGGGACACCGAAGAGCCGTCATCGTCGCCGGAAAGCGAGATAATCCGGGGGAAAAATTACGAAAAGTAGGGGTGGCGTCTGGTCAGGACGCCGCCACCATGGCTGTGGCGTCCTGGCCAGACGCCGCCACCATGGCTGTGGCGTCCTGGCCAGACGCCACCCCTACTTTTTGTAATTTTTTTTTTTTTTTTGTAATTTGTTATTTTTTTATTTATTTTTTTTCTTTTTTTTTGTAATTTTATGTAAACTTTTTGTAATTTTTTTTAAATTTTATTTAAAGTTTTTGTTTTTTTTAATTAAACATTAACACAAAAAATTCTGATTTAAAAAAAATATATATACATTAGAAATAAAAACATTAACACATAAAACAAAAATATTAAACATTAACAAAAGAATTCTGATTTTCCAAAAAAAAAATATTAGACAAAAAAAAAAAAAAAAAAAGAATTCTGATTTTCCAAAAAACATGCTCCACTCCCCCCGCATTTCATACATTCTTACCGCATTATCTCATCTAGATTCAAATCCACCCTTCAAGGTAGCATCTCATGACTCCACGAAAGAGCCGGGACAAAGATAAGGCAATAAGAACAAGGGGAACCTGAAAAACATCAGCCACGACCCGGAATCCGCAGTTACCATCTCCGATTACATCATTCCGCTAAAACTTGTTTGTCTTGTACGTTGAGTCGATCAAAATCACAAATGGCCAAGACTTGATCATATCAGCACAATCAGGATGCACAAGGAAAAGATGAGTCACCTCCGCTGTATCTTCATCAGAATCAAACCAGAACAGGTAACCACGTGATTGTGCCTGGTGTAGCAGCTGCTGTATAGGGTTCCTTCCCTCTGACCGTTCAAACCTGAGTTGCTGTCTGACGTTGTAGATGTGTCTTCGGTTTGGATGGTCTTCTGGAAATTTCTCTAACACAGATGCTAATATTTTAGCAGGCTTCACTTGAGCATCACTCATTTCTTTCACAACTAGTTTCGCAGCAGGACTTAAGCCGCTCAGTTGTCGATGACCCTCTTCATATACTATCATCTCATGGTTGTGATACCCCCATTTAGAGTAACCAATCACTTCCCAACCGTCACGACTCCGTAGTTGTCGAACCTTTACTCTGAACTCACACCCACAACCTTTCCGCTTTGTATCAAACCGAGTGGCTGTACGAAAATCTCTTTCTTCTCTTTTGCGATAACGGTCACATCTCAAAATGCGATCCATTCTACCATCCCGTTGAGATTTATGAGTTACTACTACCAAGCAAAATCCAGCTGCAATTGCAACCTGTTTTGCCCAATCAATCGCCTGTTGAGCTTCTTCGAATGGACCATCATGTCCAAATATCCCACTGTAATCATTTCCGTCTCCACCATATTCCTGCATCAATTATATATTACAATAAATACATTTAACGGATAATACATTTAATTTCTATATTTACACAGAATTAACACAAAAAAAAGCATAATTATATATAATCAAACTTAATTTTTATAAAAACCCAATTCGAATTTTCAAACTAAATTTAAAAATATACCATTTCGAATTTTCAAATTTAATTTTAAAAAAACCTATTTCGAATTTTCAAATTTAATTTAAAAAAAACCCATTTCGAATTTTTTTAAAAAATCATTTTCGATTTTTTTTTTAAAAAAAAAATTAAATAAAAAACAACAACAAAATCAAAAAAGAAAAAAAAATTAATTTATAAGGGTGGCGTCTGCCAGGGCTGCCACAGCCACTGGACTGGCGCCTGGCAGGGCCGCCTCACCCAGTGGAGTGGCGCCTGGCCAGGACGCCAGTCTGGTGGTCTGGGCGTCTGGGCTGGACGCCACTCTGGTGGTTCTGGCGTCTGGCTTGGACGTCCAGGCTACGGTTTGGGCGTCCATCCTAGGCGTCGGAGCCACTCCGACGGTAAACCGTGAATTTTAACGTTGACTTACCTCGTTTTCCGTCGACGACGACGTACCTCCGGCGTCCCCCGCATCTCCGGCCTGCCCTCCGGTCTCCCCCGGCGAGCCAGTACGGCTCCACATTTTTTACACCGAGATTATTTCAATTTTAGAAAATGGGCATAATGGTCAAACCATATCATATTTGTGGGCTTTATATGGTAAATTGCGGGCGATGTTTAGCGTTTCACGATTTTAAACATCACCTAGGGACTGAAATTGTAGCTCTTACTTACAAACCATACCACAAAGTAGCCTCATCATTCATCAATCACATTCCCCTAATCAAGATGACATAAACAAACATGCCAACAACAATAACCAGATGTAACTAGCAATCACCATCAGTAACCAACAACACCAAAAAATAACCAACAACCAGCTTACTTAGGAAGGCAAAACCAACAAGCCAAGACTAGAGAACATTGGACTTCCAACATGCCAACAACAAGAACAATCATTACCAAACACAACAAAAAAAAACCTACAATGACCACACTCATGGAGATAGAAACAACAAGGCAGCAACAATATGAATCAACATAGGACTTCCACCATGCCAACAACAACAACCAACAGTAACCAACCACAACCATCAGTAACCAACAACACCCAAAACACAGCCATCAATCCACACACTCAGGAAGACATATCCAACAAGGCAACAATAATCAAGACAAGGAGAGGGACTCATTTTAACCATCAATAACCAACAATACCAAAAAACAGCCATCATTCAACACACTCAGGAAGACAGAAACAAGGCAGGAATAACCACAAGGAAAGGGACTCCTTACAACCATCACTAACCAACAATTCCAAAAATAACAGCCATCAATCAAGACACTCAGGAAGACAGATCCAACAAGGCAAGAATAACCAATACAAGTAGGACTCCTTATAACCATCACTAACCAACAATTCCAAAAAAACAGCCGTCAATGAAGACACTCAGGTACACAGACCCGACAAGGCACCAATAATCAAAGCAAAAGATGGACTCCTTATAACCAACAATACCAACAACAGCAACAATACCAATAACAGCAACAATACCACCAATACCAAAAAACAACAGCAGTCAAAAAATCAGAGAACATGGGACTCAAAGAAAAAATTAAATAAGTTAGGGTTAGGGTTAGGAATCGTTACGGAAGCAGTCATTTGGAGGGTTGAACCCTAGGGTTCATCCGCCTCACTTCATCTTCTTCAAATGGAGGGCCACCTGAACCAGCCTCCTTTGGAGGAGGAGAGGAAATCTCCGCCTTGTCAGGCTCATCGTTAGAGGACAAAAAATTATCCACTCCTGTTCCGGCAACCCACGAATTCGCCTCAGAGCCACCCTCGTCGCCTTCCTTGTAGCCCGGATCTTCGGGGGTGACCTAGCCCTTTTAGATCTGGGCTTTTGGGTGGGCACAAAACTACCCTCAGCGCTATCACACGCTTGATCTACAGCCACAACACTGAAATCTAGCGATTTCTTCCCACGAGACTCACCCTGACCCTCAGCCCTCTCCACGCACCCCTCCTCCTCAACGCTTTCAAGAACCTTACCCAAAGCTTTGTAGGTGGTCGAACTACAGTAAGGACCAGCCTCACCAGATTCATAAAATTGGCGAGGAAAGGGAGATCTGGTCTCAAAGGATTGAATGAGGGAGATAATCAACTTTCCCTCACCATCGTCATCAGTTGCAATATACGCATCATGGAGTGGATCAAGATTAACCATGGTGTTATGGGACTCGATTTTTCAAAGAGGAGAAAGGAAGACGAACAGGAGAGAGGAAGACGAACAGGAGAGAAGAAGACGAAGAGGATGAAAATGAACTAGGGTTCATCTGGAAGATTCTGATGAAGAACGCATGAATAATACCAACCATCATTAATTGTTGGTGGTTGGGAATGGGAGTGAATGTGAGTAGTTGGGGGGAAATGGGATAATAAATGGAGGGAGTAGTTAAATTAGGGTAATATGATTAGTTTTAGGTTAATGTAATTAAAATAACATAAGGGTAAAAATCAGAAAATTAGAGTTTTTAAGTAAGGGTAAAATGGTAAATATGTAATTTCTGGGGTTTTTTTTAATAAAAAAGGAAAAAAAAAAACAGAGAGTTGCACATAACCCTAATCATCCCGAATTGGCAAAAGTTGCACAAAACAATTAACGGAGGTAGTACTTGTTATTTATTTTGCTGGGTTAATCTACACCCATTATTTATTATTGGACTTATACCAGGATCCGGGCCCTTAATGGCCCCCCTGGATGGTTTGCCTCTGTATATGATCAAATATAAATAAGATATTATTTTATAAAAATCGGAAAACTTAGGAATTTAGTTAATTTAAGGTAATATAATGAAATCAAACAAAGTCTATTGTATTTTCCTCATAAAATCCGAAATTATTAAGCTTCCAAAACTCATTTTTATTTTCTAAATTTGAACCAAATATTAAAAATAAATTAAATCAGTTTTTATTTTCTCAAAAATCCGAAAATTACATATTAATTTTCGGTTTTATGAAAACAATTAAATTAGGAAATAATTAATTAAAATTTGTCCAAAATAAATGATTAAAAATCAGATTTTAATATTTTATGAAATATTCAAATATAATATTATATAAGAATATAAATTCGATTTTATATAAAATAAATAAGAGCATAATTAATTTCATTTAAAATCCAAAATAATAATTAAGTTTGAAAATAGTTTTGGCACCAAAATTCAAATATCATTTTAGTTCCAAAATTCAAATAAATAATTAAATTACCAAAATACCCTTTTTGAAAATAATTAATAATTAATTAATTAGAAAATACTTCTCAAAAATACGGGGTATTACAAATAATACTGTGGAAAAAAAACAGAGAATCGAGTTTGATAGATTACTTATATTGCACACACACGCATTGCGTGCGCCTCTTAACTTGTTATTATAAAACTAACTAAAGATTGCAATCCATTATAAAAAATTTGTCAAAGACCGTGCGTTGCACAGGATCTAAGCTAGTAATATGTAGATAATACAGACATGTAGTAAAATATATACAACGTTCTATTGTTAAAACAAATTTAATTTATTACTTCGCATTAAATCATGTTTCGAACTAGACTAAAATTATTTTGAAACAAATAAAATATCATCACCCAACACCACCATAATATTTAACTTCTACCTTAAACATTAATGATATTTCTACCTTAAACATTAGATCAAATTGCATGCCCTAGCTAACTTAATCAAGATAATTGAATTGGTCTTGTCAACTATGACCGCAGCACCATGTGATACTAACATTATAACATGAAGTTGGGGATGAATAATGAAGATATTATCTCGATTATTAGCTGTCTTTTCAATAGTCATTTGACGAGTACAAGAGACGTTTTCATATTAAACTTGTTAATTTAAAGACGTGAAAAATGTCTTTCAACTTTAAGTGTTAATGCATTATGTATATATGCACTTTGGCAATTTGAATGCTAGCTTTTTTCCAATTGATTAGCCAAAAATAGCTAGCTTTAGGCACATTTTAATCAACTTGCATTCTAGACCCAACCTTACTGCCATTGAACGTATTGCAAGGGGCTACTTCGTTAAGATAGTATGGGATCAATTTTTATTTTAAATATCAGCTTCTTTCTGAGTATTCCGTATTTACTTATGTGATATATAATGCACATATCTGACCTTTAATATTGTTACTTTCGTATTAGTATTTTGAAGAATTTGAGATTTAGAAAAACGAAGTGAATGACAAATTTACTGTGGAAAAAATAAAGAAAAATTACATACATTGTGATATTATATTCAACTAATACGAGTAGATGTGCAATTAATTAGGAACATCCAATACAAAGTAATTTTACTATGCATCTAGACAATATAATACTCTGTACTTCGTTATGAAAAATTATACTATGGTAGAGAAGGTAAAAGATTATTTTGTATAATTGTAAAAAAATTATACAACTCCAAAGTTGTAAATAATATGAAACGGGAAAAGTCTACTACCGTAGTGTAATAAAGAATCAAAACTATGAGTGAGATATTTTTTGGTAAGATTTGTTTTAACACGGGTAGTTAAGATAGGTTTGTGCGAGTATATTAAGATCTTTAGACAGTACTTGGATTTGGACAAAATAATCGGTGCCTAATTGGACAATTCAGTTAACAAATTGCTATTGCTTTATAGGCTATACTTTTCTTGTATGAAAATAGTACAGAGTTTGGTTTTAACTCGATTTTAGTTTTGCCTAATTAATGTAATTACTTTGAATTATTTTTTTCATGTGACACTGTGACATGTATATGCTAATATACATTATTTTTATTAATAGATGGTGTGATATTTTAAACATTAGCTCAAATCTTTCAGCAAATATATTATGCATTGTTAGTTACTGTACCAAAAAAAAAAAACCAAAAAAAAAAAAAAAAAAATTAAATAAATAAATTAAAAAATAAATAAATAAATTGCACTGGAGACCCATGTGCACTTCAGCACTTGTTTCAGTTATCCTAGTATAAACTATAAAGTGTGAGTTCCATATTTACATGCATGGGTGAACAACTTTGTGCTTATTTGAGATTTTAGCTGATTTTAAAAATTAATCATTTGTATAGATAAAATTATCATGATTATTCTTAGTGTGTTGAGAGTCCACACATAGGCTAAATGGTATTTGTTCAACTTATACCATTTCCAATGCTTTATCAACTAAGACCAAGTTCTTTTCACCTTATTTTCATTTATTTATGAATCAATACTATATACTAAAGTAATCACCAATATTATCCCCAAAGTACACGTGTCACGCTCACAATAAAAAAAAATCTGCCAAATAAAAACCCTTTTTTTCCCAAAAAGATAGCTGATAATAATAATAATAATAACAATAATAATAATAATAATAATAATAATAATATGCAGCCTAAACAACCTAAAAAATTGAACAATAATAACAACTTAAATAAATAAAATATTTTTTAATCATTAATCTATTAAATGTATATTCTCTTGAATCTTTATTCGTTAATACGTAGTATATAAAATGTATTGTTCGTTTTCTACTTAAAAAAACAAAACATTTTAACTCAATTTTAAATTCATAACATGTCAACAAACTAAAATTAGAGATAAGTACTCTACATTACTGTATCTAATCTATAATAATTTGATAACATATATAGATACTTTTTATAAACTCATAGTAATTTATAAAAAAAAAAAAAAAAATCTTGTGACTATTCGAGCGTTGCTTGGGCAAAGAACTAGTTAATAAGTTAAAAGAAAGGTACCGTAAGTACTAAGTTCAATTTACAGCTAAATAAAGTTCATCGTATAAATTCTTGTAAGAAAATCATGTGGATATAATAATGCACTCTTACTGAATAGATAGATCATGTCACAAACTGCCTAATATCCACCCTCGATCACCATTATTGGTGGAGGCACCATTTTTTTTGTAACATCTTGAATTAAAGGGCACCGATGGATAGAAATTTTGCCCCAACCAAGGTTCTACATTGAGCGCAGAGCCGCGGACTAAAGTTTTTTTTCCCTATATATAAATCGAAATGTGGATATAATCATTAAGAGACCTACTTGGTTATGTGATAGGAACAAAAAACATAAGTTATTCCAATGTTTTCAATACTAGAGACTAAAATTTGTTATATTTATGAACATATTGTGTTATCCGGTGGACTTTAGATATTAAATTACAGCCCAACTCGACACAACTTTTTCTATTAACACATGGGTTCATCTCGCTCGAACTACTAGCTTAGATATCGACAATTGCATCCTTTTCAAATCCTAGACTGATATGAAAATCGAAAACCTCAAGAGGAACTAATAGATGTGGCAAGCTAGCTTAAGCCTATGAAGTGCATTCTTATTTGTGACCTAAAAACTTGGTTATTGTATAATTACAAAATTCTAAAAATTGCTCCATACAAGATTTTTAATTTAAAACACAAGAAATATTGATAAAGAAACCTTCGGTGATTTAAATAAACTCTCAAACACAAATAAATAAATAAATAAATAAAATATTACCTACATACTCTATTACTCTATAGATCCATAATACATGTCATTATAGTGTTTGTATAATGTGCATTACTACTGCTAAGTTATTATAGTTTATATTTCGAAATGACACTTTGATAAACAAAAAGTCATTTAATATCAAATTACCATTATAAGACAACCTATATTTCGAACTAAAAGATTCTATCCAAAAAACGACTTATAATTTAGGTCGGTGAGATTACGTGATAGAAAAACAGATGAACTTTATCCTAAATGAATCATCCGAGAAAAGACTCTGGAGCAAATCAAATAACCCTAATTACAAACTTAGATACTTTGTAAGTTAATTTCTTAATAGAGTACAAAATCAAAAATTCTATTACATTGCCAAACGACACAACTTTTGCACAATTAGCAATTTTCCAACTCCAACTTGTAACGTGGGGCGCGGTTAAATTTTCCCTTATATATACTCTTCTCTTACCACTTTGTCTTCACTACTTCACTTCACATCCATTTTTTCCATCACTCTAAAAAAAAAAAAATTGCCCAACTTCCCAAAATTCCTCACAAATTTCTCATTTGAACAACAAAAATCAATTAACCCTTTAATTTTGTTGATTAATGGGAGATAATTATGCTACAAAATCAATGGGGTTTCTCCAATTTGAACAATTAATCCCTGGTTTACCAGATGATTTAGCAATGGAGTGTCTTTTAAGAGTACCCATTACTTCTCATCCTTCCCTTAGATTAGTTTCTCATCTATGGAAGTCTACTGTCTCTCATCCTTCTTTTTTCTCGAATCGCCGCCTCGCTCGCTTCGCCGAAAACCATGTGTTTCTTATTCAGCCACAGTCGCCTCCGCCGCCGTTACCGGTGGCTGAAGATAAAAGTTTACTTGAAGAATTTGAATCCGATGATAGTAACAAACAAGTTGTTAATGGGAGTCCACTTCTTTACAATCTGAATGTCTTTAACACTAATAATGATGAATGGCGTTGTTTAGCTGGGGTTACAATCCCTACATTTTCGCAGTGTGTGGTTTTGCCGGCGGTGAGGAAGTTGGTCGTGTTGGGCGGGTGGGACCCGGCGACGCTGGAGCCAGTCTCGAGGGTGTTGGTTCTGGACCTCGCCGTTGGGACGTGGAGGGAGGGGTCTCCGATGCCGACGGCGAGGTCGTTCTTCGCCTGTGCGGCGGCAGGGCCTTCCACGGTCTACGTCGCCGGAGGGCACGACGGACAGAAGAATGCCCTCCGATCGGCGGAGGCCTACGACGCTGTGGCCGACAAGTGGAAGGCCCTGCCGCCTATGGCTGAAGAACGAGACGAAAGCTACGGACTGTCCTTAACAAATGAGGAAAAGTTCTGTGTTATAAGCGGATACGGGACTGAATCTCAAGGGAGATTCAGGCCCGATGCCGAAGTATTCGATCCAGAGTCGAATACTTGGGAGATTGTTTCCGGGGTATGGCCGTATCCCGGAAACAATCCCAAATCTACCGCCGTTGTCACGGTAGAAGGACAACGGCGGTGGTGGTACGTCCTTGAAGGGGAAATAAAAGAATTCCAATGGGAGGACAAGGTGTGGAAAGGGTTGAATCTAGGTTCAATTCCGAAACGAGTAACGGAGTTATGGTCATCTTCATCATCGGTGTCTTTGATTGATGTTGGAAATGGTAAGATTTTTTTGATGGGAAATGGGGAGAATTGTGGTGGGGAAGGGATGTTCATCTTGGAGAGAAAAAATGTGGATAATAACAACAACAACAATAATAACAATTGCAATAAAGGTCAAGGTGGAGTTAATTGGAGATGGCAACATGTTCATGCTCCTCCTAGATTTTTTGGCTTCCCCTTCTCCGCTTCTCACCTTCTTATCTAGGTTTACATTGCTATTTATCGAATATGTAACGAGTTTATTACGAGTTTAACTTATCGTCGAGGTGAAAGATGGTCGAGGATTATTGTTGCAAATCAAGTTCGGCCAAAGCTTTTAGAGTTGAGGAAAAAAAAATTGTCCATACAAATGTTTTAATGAAGTACATGTTATTATGTTACTCCGTGTCTAATACGGATGTTTGAATATTGTATAAATCTAGGCAATGAGCGGTTTACAATTCTTAATTTGTTTATTATTGTTATCATTATTATTATTAATTTGACTTGATTTTGCATTTAAAAGTACGGAATACTAACTACTCTAGATTATGAGTTTAAAACTTATAGATTGCAATTAAAACGCTAACTCTATACATTCGAACAATAATGCACATATTAGACTTGGTAATTTGGATGGTTATAACTTATATAAGGAGAAAAGGAGGTGGTGTATGAAGTGGCGTGTAAAGTGGTGTGATTTTGTAAAAGGTGGACAAGCAAACAATTTATATTTGGGGAGAATAATTTCAATTTTTGAATTCTTAGAAACCCGTTTGACGTGTACATGGACAACATAGCCTAATAGACTATTCAGCAATGTCCATTGAATACATTCTGGTTTGGTAAAAGCTATTAGGAGTTCAAGACTTAGTAAATCTAATATTATATATCACTAATAAAAACAACCGGATTTTACAGTGAGACCACAAAACATCGACACTGGCATTTTAATTTTCGTCAAGTGTCACGCCACGTAGCTATTGTTATGACATATACTTACCTCCGTTTTTTTTTTAGTTGACACGTATTCCTTTTTAGGAAGTTTATTTTTAGTTGACACGTTTCCTATTTGGGTAAATTTTATACCTTGTATTTATTAGTATACCCCACTTGCTTTATTATTCTCTCTTATTTTCTCTCTTCTCCTTAATATGTGTGCCTAAATTTAACGCGTCAAATAAATAAAAACGGAGGAAGTATGATGCTAATTAAGCCAATTGTATTATTGAACATTTAAGCCAAACGTTTATCCTAAAATTTTATCAACAATCTGGGCATCAACATAGATATCTACTTCCAAACAAAATTACAAAAATTACACTATTATTTGATATTGTAAGTCTTAAATATCCTGCATTATCAAAAGGGATTAGATGACCATATTTCACATTCAAGTAAAAAGTTTATCCTAAAACAAAACTAGTCACTAATAAATAAAGTCGGTCTCGCAGCCAAACCACGAGATAGCGACACTTGGCATTCCAATATTTCGCCAAGTGTCGTGCCATGTAGGCGACAAATAGGTATTATTGTGAACATATGATGCTAAATAAGCGAATTTCGGATAGATTTTTTAAGATAAAAATGTTGTATAGAGTTTTATTATCAATACTCTACTAATATTTCATATATAAAAAATTAATCATAACTTTTAATAAAAATCTAATAACTCAGTTCTATTCCATCATAAAATTCGTTTTAAAAAGTTCTTTAAAATAAAATCCATGTATAATATATTTAAAATAATAGAGAATTAGTAAAAATAAGTTTTAATCAATAAAAATACTTTCTGTTTAGTAAAAATAATTTAAATATGATATCGCATGTCTAAATATCCTGCATTATCAAAAGTGATTATATGGCCGTATTTAACATTAAAAAAAGTTCATCCTAAAATTCAATAAACAACCTGATCATCGCCCGGGGCACAAAACTAGTACTCCCTCCATTTCATAATAAAACCTATTTTTCATTTTCACGGGAATTAAGAAAGTTGGTTGGGAGTACAAATATGCATGTGTGGTTAGAGAGAGATAGAGAGAAAGAAAAAAATGGTTGAGAATTATTGAAGAGATGTAGAGAGAAAGTGTTGGGAATTGATGCCAAAAGTACAAAAAAGAAAATAAAAAGGATAATAAATCATCAAAAAGAGGGTATTATTGTCAAAAAGTACTATCTATAAATAGAAACAAACTTTTAATTGTGAACACCCGAAAACAGACTTCTAATTATAAAACGGAGGGAGTAACTAATATATAAAGATAAACTTTTAGCAGGCCACGAGACAGCGACACTTGGCGTTCCAACTTTTCGCTAAGTGTCGCGCCACGTAGGCGGCAATAATTAATTATTAATATGACACGTATGATTTATTTGAATATATTTTTTGTAGAATAGGATAAAAAAAGTTATTTTAGAGTTTTATTTTAAATAAAATGTGAATAGATTTAGTTGGATAAAAAAAAAAGTTATTTTAGAGTTTTATTTTTAATAAAACTTTGATTTAGAATTTTATTTTCAATAAAATACCAATATTTTTATACAAGTGGCGGATGCAGAGAGGTATAAAAAGAAAAAAGGAAAAAATCAAAAATCAAAGAGACATGTTATTTTATATAACCGTTCTCTTAAGTCTTAACATGCAACTAGCCTTTCCCTAAATGTTCAGCGAAAATGAAAAGAGATCACAGCTTTAGAAAACCGCTCGTTTTAGTTGTACATTATTATTTCTAATTTTTTTAGATTGTCAAGTGATTATTAATCCATAAAATACCCATAAACAGACAAATATGGTTGTCAAGTGATTATTAAAATGAGTAGAAAATTCAAATAACATATATATTTTTTAGATAAAAAGTTGTATTTTAAAATTCAATAAACAACGCGAGCATCGCACAGGGCACAAAACTAGTTAATAAATAAAGTCGGTCTCGTAGTCCAGCCACGAGACAGCAACACTTGACATTCCAATTTTTCGCCAAGTGTCGAGCCACGTAGGCGACAAATGGGTATTATTGTGACACATATGATGTTAAGTAAGCGATTTTTTAAGATAAAAATGTTGCATAGAGTTTTATTATCGATATACTTCTAATATTTCATATATACAAAATTAATCATAACTTTTAATAAATATCTTATAACTCGGTTCTATTTTCATTGTAAAATTCGATTTAAAAAGTTCTTTAAATTAAGATCCATTTATAATATATTTAATTTATTTTAAAAAATAATAGAGAATTAGTAAAAATAAATTTTAATCAATAAAAATAATTTTAGTTTGGTAAAACTACCTTCAATTTACAACACAAAACTACAAAAAGTACAGTATTACCAGTATATATATAAGCGATATGATCTGATATCGTATGTCTAAATATTCTGCATTATCAAAAGGGATTATATGTCCGTTTTTAACGTTGAAGCCAAAAAGTTTATCCTAAAATTTTATCAACAATTCGGGCATCGCCCAAGCACAAAACTAGTATATATATAAGGAGAGTCACATAAGATTAAAATTTCTTAATGCGCCATGAAGGATTATAAATTTTAGTTATAGCCAATTAATAAGAGATTTGTAATTTCTTTTAGAATCAAATAATTCAAATGCCACATAAGCAAAATTGGCGAATGAGATTTTAAAGTTTAAATTAATTAATATAAAATACTATCTTTTCATATTAGGAATTTTATCTAAATATATAACAAATGAGAGGAAATTCACAATTTATTGTAATAAATAGCCTGTCTTGTGTGCGGCTGGCCACATCATGTGACCGGTTGTAAAATAACAAAATAATCCCTATAACACTGACCGAGTAACCCTTATAACACTGTCTGAGTAACCCCTATACCACTGACGAAGTAACCCTTATAATACTGACTGAGTAACCCCTATAACACTAACGAAATAACTCCATTATTGTTGGTCACACGGTGTGGCCAGCCACATATAAGAATTTTTGTTAAAATAAAAATATTAAATGATATACTACATATAACGAATAAAATACTACGTATCAAATTTTATCACATTACAAAATATTTGTTTTTAAAAAAATACAAACAAACCATGCATTACACAGGCTTCATCTAGTTACAAATGGAGGTGGGCTCGTGGAGGGATTTAAACTTGTAAATTGTAATCCATCGTACATGTCAAATACAAAGAAAACTACTCTATTTTTTTTTAACACTTTTAGTTATCATGATAGTCTCGTTTCTTGATACAATTTTGTTGGACGGAAATAGGTAGTTTTGTTTTGACACAAACTCTTAAATAGACATGGTTTACACTAATTTATTGTGGACTATTAATATTAGAGATACTATATTTGTTTTATTAATAAAAAAAAGGTCATTATATTAAAATAAAGGTTATTATGTTGAAATAAAAGTCTGTATTATAAAGGCTATAAAAGGTTTTTTTTTAATGAAATTTTATGTATATTAATCAATATGAAAAAAAGGTCACTATGTTAAAATTAGGGTCACTATATTCAACATAACGTCATACTTCAGGTTCACAATAATATTAAAGGTCACATAAGTTTTAATAAAGGTTACTATGTTAAAAATTAAGGTTACTATGTTAAAATTAGGATCACTATATTTAATATAATGTCAACTGCGTGTACATAAACCTTAGGTCCACAATAATATTATTGTGGACCAGGTCCACATAAGTTTTTTCCTTATTTTGATAGAGATGTGTCTATCAATAGTAACATAACGGATAGACAATTAAGAGCAACTCCAATGCCACATAAGCTTTTAAGCTAATTATCTTTCTAGATAGTTTGAGCCCTAGTGGCTAGCTATTAGCTTACTATTTATATTATGATTTTATTATTTTCATTTTATTACTAATTTACTTTTAGCATTTTTCTGGCAAGTTTTTTTCAAGCAAATTAATTTGGCAAAGCTAATTACATATTCTAACTCCAATCTAGCTCCAATGTCAAGCTAGTAGCTAGTGTAGATTTCGGATTTTTGGTTAATTTCAGGTCGTTTGTCATTTGGGTCGGGTAATCGTTTAATCATATTTACTACATACTTATAGTATTTTTAAAAATTGTTTTTTTTTAAACAAATCAATTCATTAATCAAAAGGCATACGACATCTACAAATGAAATGTAAATCAACAAATATATAAAATTGAATCAAATAATGGTTTCCTTCATCAAAGCTGCGCTATGATCGTTGAATAGATCTTGCACTGTGATACATCTCTCGCACACATCGCTGGAATATACAATCTTTTCGAAGAGGCGGTCTAATGATTTGTTGTAGCCGTAAGGATGATTTTCATCTGATTCACTTGAACGCCTTTGAAGATTTGACAACCGTTGCAATCCCGTACAATTCTTTACCAACGAACTAATAACGGGGAAAAAGATGATAACCTTTTTAATAAACCCTAACACAAAAACAAAAAACAAAAAACAAAAAAACAAAAAAATAA